TGTTGACATAGTTCGGAGCATTTCAAATCTTGATTTTGCGACAGCAGTCATTTTGGGGAACCATGATGCCTGGAAGACCCGGAAGTTCGCCCCAAAGTAAGCTTGAGATTAACTGATCTGTGGTTACATGAAACAACTAAAAACAATGGTATTTGGTGTATTGATTGGATATGGAAGATAATCAAATTACATAATAAATGGATGATCTATGTATACTATTGAATTGACTTATTCAGTCTGCGGCTCCCATGTTGACCTCTCTTTTTACATAACATAGACCCAAATTACTTATTTATAATTTTATATTTTAGTTTCAGTTAGCTTGGGGCGTTGTTCACCTTGCAAATCGCATCGTAATTTTCAGTCTTCATGTTCTTGTAATAGTAATCTGAATGTAGCCTTCATGTTCTTATAATAGTAATGTGGATATCTGTTGCTAGTAACCATTATTCCCTATTAGGATCATTTGATATCATTTGCACATGTTAGCAAATGTACTGTAAATAGTTTAGGAAAGGTATATCTTATACTTCTAATCTTCCCATTCCTTAATTAGTTTTACTTTGTTTGTTAGCTCTCTTAGAGTGTAGATGTGTGTTGTGTTCTATTTACACAGTATTCAATTTACACTACATGGTGTCAGAGCCATTCTTAAGGTTTTTGAGAAATCCATTTTGTTTTCTGTCTTTCAAAACACAGACGCAGAGGGATTTGTTTTCTGTGGCAGCTCTCTGCTGCTAACTTAGATTCAAAATATGATCTCACCTCTGTTCCAAAGGCTCACTGGCCGTCTATTGGCTACCTATTAGAATCTGCCGCGAACTGGATTCAGCACGTGTGAAGCCCACGCGCCGGTGATCCACTTGGAATCTTTTTAGCTCCTCTTTTTGTTCCTTATTTCTGTGTGTAAATCATTTCATAGAGAGAAACATAATGATTAATCCTCTACTTGTTATGTCATGGAATTTAAGAGAGTACAGGGATTTAAATTCTCTTCTATCTCTTAGAACTGATGTGAAAAAGATGCAGAAGAACACTGAGCAAACTGCAGTCGTGAGCTTTTTATCAAAAGATGGGCCTTGTCCAGAATTTGTCTTCATTTTGTTTGGAAATTCAGAATTAATATTTGAAAACCATGATTTCTTACAAAGAATATAGCATAAGAATATTCTTCTGTTTCATTTCATTCTTTATATGATATTATGGGGAACTTTACATGAATCCTCTTGTGCTGATACACATGCCCCAAATGAGGCTGTTGAATGAAAAAATCGGCATCTTCTCAAGGTTGCTCAACCGTTTTTGTTTCAAATGAACATTCCTCAACTCTAGTGGGCTGTATGTTTTCTTATTAATCGCTTACCTTCTGTAAATGATGCTTACCGTGCTTTATCTTTTGAGTCCTCTGACGTGATTTCACTTCTGATATCGTCCCATAAGAATCACGTCAACTTCCCTCTGAATTATTCGTATCTCACGAAATTCAAGTTTATACTCGATGGAAATGGACTCCACTTATAGTTCTGCCCGATTCATGTCCCCCACCAGCTGCTTCATTAAAAGATGGAAGGCTAATTATCCTCTTATTGTCGAACCTTCTTATCCTGACCTTGAACTCCATCTTCCTACTGTTTATTATTGGAAAAGAAAATATAGAGACAAATGAACATATTGTATTTGATATATCCAAGAGTACAATGTACAAGGATATTTTACTTACTAAAGATGCCTAATCTACAACATCAGAATATTTTACTAATTGATATCCTAATCTTTACCATATATACGAAAACACTCCTCTTAAGCTGAAGCATATATATCAATAATGTGCAGCATATTACAAATGTTTTTCATCTGTAATCCTTTCACAGCTTTACTGAATACGTCCCTGAGCTGATCTTCTGATATAATATATCCTGTTGAAATGACTCCTGCCTTAGCACGTACAGAGTGATTATCTACCTTGATATATATGATTTGTTCACGAAATTCTGGATTCGATGCAATGTGGAGAGCTGCTTTGTGCCGTGTTTATTTATTTATTTATCTATTTTCTTCGTAATTTTCAGCTTTCTACAATCTAAATTGCTCTTTATTGCCTATATAATTAGCCAGTCTGTGCACCTTATCATCAAGCACAGATACCATCTTATGACTTTTCTTAGCCACACATTCTTAACGATTTTAGTGTTCACGATGAACCAAGAAAGCTTTCATGTTCCAGTTCTTGAATAGTTTCCTGTCAGCACTCTTCTCTTGAGAAAGGAAAAAAGATTCTGTCTTTGCTCTTTCCTTATCTGTGTAAATCTGATGTCAATACCACTCATCTTGGTGCTTGAATCAATCCATTTAAAATCCTTGTTTATGTACATTATGTTTGTTCTAACTGCCATGGCATTTTAATGCAGGGAAAAGGATGCTGTTCAACTGCAGCTTGAATAGTAAGTTTCGATTAGTATGTGTATAATATTTTGTACATTTTGCCTTTTTATTTACTTATAGGCATAATATTTCTCATGGCCTATGTCTTCTTTTTCCTGAGATTTGTGCACTTGGGAACTAAACTCTTATCACAAGATTTTATACTTGTCATACCATTTGCTGGTCCTTTTAATCAACAAAACATTATGTTTATTTTTACCAATATTGTTTATTTTGGTAATATTGTTTATTTTTGTCCATTGCAAATGGAGCTGGAAGAGTCATTGTTGACAATTCTCCTGGCATAGTGCTAATAACGGACTAGATCAAAATGACTCAATTAAATTTTAGTGCTTCTTCTATTAGTGAAGTTTCTAGAAAAAAAAAAAATATCAAACGACGCAATGCACCTTGGGTCGCTACGGAAACAGCCTCCTTGTATAATTACAAGGGTAAGGTCTGCGTACAACTGACACTCCAGACCCCAACCAGTTGGGAATATACTGGGTATGTTGATGTATGTTGATGTGGTAATATTGTTTATTTCTACTTGGTTTCTTGGCTATACCGTCATGTATACGACTTCTATTCATAAAATGGATATATCTTGAAGATTTAATGGGTAACTGAAACCCCTACCATGAAAGGGTATGCACATCACTGTGAAAATATTAGATGGGTGATTGAAGGAAATACATGTAATATTATACTAATCCAACTTAATTCCCAGGTGTTTTGTAATAATTTAATCGAAAGATCTAAGATCTGCTAGGGTATCATTTTTTCTATTTACATCACAAGTGATGGCTACAGTTTCCATATTTAAGGTATCTCTTGATGAACCCTCTTGGTACTCCAGAAAACTATTGTTTCGTTAGATGTTCTATGGGAAACTTCATCTCATGTTAGGTCCTGTAAATTGTAATGTAATTAATTTTCAATTTACCATTTTACCATGATTGCTATCATGCTAGTAGTTTCTGGGTATGCGGCTAAACTGCGTGTTTGGTCCAATCATTTGGAAAAAAAAAAATCTGAAACGGTAGAAGTTTTATCATCTTTTTCATCTGTTTACCGAGTATATAACCCTAATGTGTTGATATGATACTATGTATAATATAGCTTTTGCTACTGTGATTTGGCCATTATTGCTTTTCAATGGTGTAATAGTGTTGAGTTTGTCATTTCTATAATGAAAGATTTGGTTGTTAACATTGTTAAAGTCAACTAAGAAAATTGTGCACATTTTGTTTTGGTAACTGAGTAAATGCACATTAAATTTGATGGTAAGGGGGTTGTGAAAATGGATTATGCGGTAAGATATGCGAGTTGTTTCTCTTTTCCATTTAATTGCTCCAATCAGACATAATTACGAAATAAAGGGTACGAAATGTATCTTTCAAGTTGAAATTCTTGTTTCTTTGGAACTGGATGTACATTTCTCTTCAACTCAACGCAAAGAATTTTTTTACGGTCCCTAGCTGTCTACTTTATTTCGTGTGATATGTTGAAATGGCTGTTGGCTTTTGATAACCAGTCTTGGTGAAGCGCATGTTGGCTATCGGCGGCTGGATTTTCCAAATTTCAAATTGAGTATAGTTGGTGGACGGCCATTCTCATGTGGTGGTGATTATATGTTTCGGGATAAAC